TATATAACTATATATAACTCTATATAACTCTCTCTATCTATCTATCTATCTATCTATCTATCTATCTATCTATATATATATATATAGTTATAGTTTTATATATATATATATATATATATATATATATATATAGTTATAGTTTAGTTATAGTTATAGTTATATAGTTATAGTTTATAGTTATATATATATAGTTATATATATATAGTTATATATAGTTATATGGTGGTTCTATGCCTCTAAGGCTAGGAGATGCCTGTAATCTCATATTTCTGGGTCTGGAATGGATGGTCCTTGGACAGTCAACAGTGGAAAGCTGCTGTTTTTTGTGACTTGATGTGTAAAGAAGAGATTTGCTTTGAGAAACTGGGGGTGGTGGTGGTTGCGTTACTGGTTTGCAGCAGATGTTAAAACCACACCCTCCATTTCAGATCTTGATGATGGTGGGGTTGCCTGCCGCTGGGAAGACTACGTGGGCCATTAAGCATGCCGCAGCCAATCCAGCCAAGAAGTATAATATTTTGGGAACAAACGCCATTATGGACAAAATGAGGGTAAGCGTTGGAGGCAGAGAACACCGGTTTCTCCCCGTCTGCTTCCTCATTCGTGGTCGCTTCCTTCCAAGTCAAACTGAGAACAGCTCACTGTCTCTTTCAAAATGATTTTCCTGGCTGGTCCCTTGCAGGAAATCCTTCCTTTTATAGGCGGCGGATTTTCTTATAAAAGTGAAAGAGTCCCTGTGGATTTTATTCCGCTAGTCGTTGCTGACTCTAGGGGGCAGTGCTCATCTCCTTTCAAGGCTTTTGAGCCGATGCTGTCCGAAGACATTTCCGTGGTCATGTGGCCAGCATGATGTCGCGGAGTGTTGTTACCTTCCTGCCAAAGTGATACCTATTTATCTACTCACATTTGCACGCTTCCAAACTGCTGGGTTGGCAGGAGCTGGGGCGAGGGCGGGAGCTCCTTGTGTGGTGCTTGGGTCTGTCACCATTCCAAATTATCTTTCTAGAACAGAGGTATCGAACTCAAGGGCCAGAGGCTGGATCTGGCCCGTGGTGTCCTTAGATTTGCCCTGGAAACGAGGAAGGACTGGCCCGCAGTGCCTCTGCCAGAGAAAATGGAGCCCTCCCGAGCTCCGTTTTCACTGGCAGAGGGTTGCAGGAAGCCGTCTCAGCTGAAAACGGAACTCGGGAGCCTGTTTTTTGCTGGCAGAGTGCTTGTACCCCCCGAAACAAGTGACGTCGAGCTGGCCACGCCTACCCTGGCCCCCAAAGTAAAACACAACCCGGATGTGGCCCTCAATGAAATCGAGTTTGACACCCCTGTTCTAGAATAGTGAAAAATTCCTAGTTCCCCAGATTGTTCCATTTACATCCCTCTGTCTGTGTGTGTGTGTGTGAGAGAGAGAGAGATTGTGCATTACAGATTAGATTCTCCCCCCCTTTAAATCACCAGGCCTGTTTATACAACAGTGCTCAAAGTCTGGGTCACGACCGGCTTTTCAAGTTGCCCCCCTCCCTAGTGGGTGGATTGCAGTTCCCAGAATTTCTGGTCAGCCCTTAATTAATTGGGACTCCAAGGAGCTGCAGTCCCAAAATATCTGCGAAGTGGCAGGTTGGAGAAGACTGCAGTGTCCTACTTGAGAATTGACGGTGGAATTGCTGCCTTGCAGGGATTCCGATACAAGGAGCTCCCAGTTTCCAGCTTTATAGGAGAAATAACAAGAGTGGGAAGGGGACTTTGGAGGTCTTCTAGTCCAGCCTCCTCCCTATACCAGGGGTGTCCAACCTTGGCAACTTTAAGACCTGTGGACTTCAACTCCCAGGATTCCCCAGCCAGCCGTGTTTTAAAGTTGCCACGTTGGACATCCTTGCCGTCTATTTCTAGAAAACTCGTGTTATTCTCTGGTAGTCAAAATATTTGAAAGCATCTTTTCCGATTAACACATTTTATTTAAAGGCATCGACTTTCACAAGCTTCAGTAGACGCCTCTTAACAGTTTGCTAATCAGAAATATGTGCTATCAAGCACATTTATCAGCATTTCCTTAATGTTGCTAAACAACAACTTAACCTGCAAAAAAATGTTGAAAAATCATGTCTGATGCCTCAATTTACGACCAGTGACTTACAACTGTAATTCCAGGCTCAATTACAGTTGTAAGTCGAGGACTACCTGCATATTATTCTGATAGTAGCCTCCTTTTGTGAGTCCTCCTGTGGGAATTGCCTTGGGACACACACACCTCTTCAGACGCAAGACCTACTTCAAGCCCGTGACCCGTCAAAACCGCAGTCCACTAAAGCGCGCCCGATTAAAGCGCGTACCTGACGTCATCAGCAGCGCAACAAATAAAATAAAAAATAAATTAAATTAAAATTTAAATTAAATTAAAGCAAGCCGATTCACATAAAGGTAAGGGTTAGGTTTAGGGTTAGGGTTAAGTTAAGGGTTAGGGTTAGGGTTAGGTTTAGCGTTAGGTTAAGGGTTAGCGTTAGGTTTAGGGTTAGCGTTAGGTTTAGGGTTAGC